TGTCAGTGATTATTTTCATTACAATGGAAGCAATCTTTTTAATTCTATGCCCCAAATACAGTGTTCGCATCAACATCTTTGTCCTGCGTGTGACTCAAAGGTCTTTATTTCTGTCATTCAAATGGTTGATATCCTGCAAACAAAACTGGGACAACTTTCCCCTCAAATTCCTATTTCTGAGAAGAGAAAAGAATACGTTTAAAAAGAGCCACATACAGCCGCTCCGAAATTGTCTGTCCATGGTCTCAACTGAGGAGCTGTTACATGTAAGAGGAAATCAAAGCTGAGGGCAGAGGGTGCTTGTCTCCTAAAACACAAGACATGCCGTAGATCATTTGGGGAACAATGTTTTGAGTTTAGCGAGATTTGTCAGGGACTAGAGTAAGGTGGTATCATCGTAAAGTGCCATCCACAGAAAGCCCTAGTTATTGATTGGGGAAAAGAGATTCAAAAAACATGAGCATTGGACATCTCGCCACTAATACCAAGATCCTAACTTGCCCTGCTCACCCGGTGTGGGGAGCGTGACCCTGAGCAGCATGGCTGTCCTGTCACCAGCTGCTGCTTGGAGTGATGGTGAAAATAATCTAGAACAGCCCAGATTTCTCTCAGTTTGTATGGAGTTCATCCCAAGCCCAATTTGGGGGAGCTCCTTACTCAGCTATCCAAAAGAAAACAACAATTACAGCAGGTCAGGCGTGTCTGGTGAAGGGCGCTTACTAGTTTCTAAGACAGGAACATTCCCCTTTCCTAAGTCATTTTGGGGCTTCATCATCTGATCTAAGTGAGAGGTGAGGTGAGCACATTTTCTTTGATAGCTATACTCACATATACTTGGGCTAGGATTTCAACAAATATAATTCCAGAGAAATACCTAACTCCCTCGCGTTGTGATTTGGTTGATGTTTGGGACGAGGCAGATGAAGTTGACGAAGGGAGCGTGTTTCTAGATAGAAGTGGCCACCTTCGCATGGACCTCCATTCTCACAGAGTCTCCCCACCAAGAGGGGCCATGCCGACTCAGCCCAGAGTGCCTGGAGGCCCGAGGGAGGCCAGAGAAGACCTCTGTTAGGAAAGCACATAGTCACCAGCTTGGCAACTGAGCAATCCGTGAGAACACTCCACATGCAACCCAAAGGTTACAGTTGTCAGCCCCCAAAGACACCATTTCATGCCCAGATAGTCATTATCAAAGCGACCTATTGTCTCATTGTTCAGCTGCCCAGGGATTGGCCTCTGGTCTCCATTCCCAAAGGAAACCCTTTCCCCAGAAATGATTTGTTCTCCACATGTCCTGGCCCTATCCCTCCCTCCCCACGGGAGCTGTGGCTTAGCCTGCAGCTCCTTCACTTGAAGCCAGCATCCTGAGAGCACTGGGTTCCATTGCCTGAAGGTGGCCACGTGAAGAGGGAACTCTGAAAACCCCATTTTCTTTCTTTTCACCCTCATTTTGGCATGAATTTCTGTGTTCTTCTAACATCTTGTAACCTTCTCTATATCATGCTTTAAAGTGTAATAATATGATTTTTTAAAAGAAATTTATTACTTGTTGCAAAGATCTTTTTAAATCAGTCTAGATTTAAAGAAAAAATAAATGGAAATCATTGACAATTCATTTCACATTAATGGTCTGAAAATAAACCAAAGGACATTATGTGTGCATGTGTGGATAAGTGCACACAGAAATGTATATACACATGTAGACTATATACATGTGTGTATATATGTGTATATATATATATACACTTGTATAAATGTATGTACACACATATACCTAAAATGTGTGTATGTGTATTTATTAAAGAAACAGACACCACATTCATTGCTAAAAGAATATTCAGAGAATATCAAGATGATTCTGGCTAAAGAAAAAAGCCAGTGGAAATTCAGGTGAAAATGTTCATTGATTCCCATGACATCACTTCTGTAATTTTGCAGCTCTCTGTACAAACATTAAAAGTCTTATATAGCAGCAAAAATATAAAACAGTTGTCCATATTTTCACAGTTGTGGTATAATTTATGAAATTAAAAAATAAATTATCAGCTTCTTAATAGAAATGGTCAGTTTTGATATGAGTATACAGTATATAAAAATATATATAGTGCTATATATAAATATTTGGTCTCTATTTCATTTTTTGCATCAGTATTAACACCAAAATATGTCAAGCTAGTGTGTTTTTATGAGACCCCTGATCCTAATGCAAGAGACAGTTATTTATAGCCATTTATTTTAAAAAATGAAGATAAGCAAATAATAATTAATCAGGTTAATATTGTTACTCCCTGTGACAAAATTTTATAAGTAAATTTCAAAAGACATGTTGTAAATTAGGAGGCTCAACAATAAAACATTACCTTCCAGAAATTATGTGGGATGTGCTGTATCTCACATGAAAACACTTCCATCCATTTTAAGGGCAAATAATAAAAAGTTGCCAAAGAGAGGTCTAAAACGCCTGCTTTAGTAAATATGCATGAACGATTTATAATTAGCATATAAATCATACACAAATTATGATCTACAGCAGCATTTTTCAAATTCAGGTTACATTCATTAGTGGGTTGTAAAATCAGTGTAGGAAGTCAATTCTTTTTTTTTTTGAGATGGAGCCTCAAGTTGTCCCCCTGGGTAGAGTGCCATGGCATCACAGCTCACAGCAACCTCCAACTCCTGGGCTCAAGCGAGTCTCCTGCCTCAGCCTCCCAAGTAGTTGGGACTACAGGCACCCGCCACAACGCCTGGCCATTTTTTGGTTGCAGCCATCATTGTTGTTTGGCGGGCCTGGGCTGGGGATTCAAACCCGCCACCTTAGGTGTATGTGGCTGGCGCCTTAGCCGCTTGAGCCACAGGCCCCGAGTCAGGAAGTCATTTCTTAATAAAATAGACTAGGATGGAGTGGAATGGACCACGCATATTAGGGAGAAGTATTGTTTACTGAAGCACTGGTTTCGGGGGGTGTGCGACGTGTGTGTGCATGTGTGTGTATGTGTGTGTCAGAGTGTATGTACTGGCTCACAACGTAAAATACATTTCTTATTGTGGTCATGGTCAAAAATCTTTTAGAAACACTACTCTAGAATATACTAGTCAGGCCAGGCTAAGTTTTGGTTTTGGTTTTTTTTTTGGCCGAGGCTGGGTTTGAACCCGCCACCTCTGGCATATGGGGCCAGTGCCCTACTCCTTTGAGCCACAGGTGCCGCCCTCCAGGCTGAGTTTTAATATTGTAATAAACAGCCTCAAAATCTCAGTGGTTTAATACAACACTGGTTTTTTTACCATCCACACAAATTCCAATGAGGGTTCAAGTCATCCCCCCAAACCACAGACCTCCATGCAGTGGCTCAGGAATCCAGGCTGCCTCTGTTGGAATCAGAACATGAGGCTGTTACAGTCACTGCCCAGAAGGGAACCCACAAAGGACCATCCTTTTATGTTCAGCCCAAAGGAGCCAGTTTCTCGCACTGCCTACTGGCCAGTGCTGGTCAATGACCCTTTCTACATGCAAAGCAATCAGGAAACATGGGGAAACTCATGGAATACCTAGTGAGCATTACAGTCTCTGCCAGAGAGTGCTGACTTTCCCATAAAACATAATCCTAAGTACCAATTTACATGGTGACCTCTCTTCATGGAGGGTATGGTGAACATTAATTACTACAAGCTAGCAGAACCTTACCTCATATGATCACACCGTCTATTCCAAGCTGGATGGAAGGCAACGGTTAAAACTTATACTTTTCTCTTCTGGCCCCATGACCAGGAACCACTGACTGGCCACAGGTGACAGGTCAGCCCCTTGGTAAGCTCCTGCTCACAAAGACACCAAGCAAGCAGCTGAAGGAGCAGGTGTGACTGGCTAGGGCAGCAGCATGGTGGAGTTATTGACAGGGCAGTGTCTTCGGAGAATAAATCTCAACTCAATAACCCTGTTTCTTTGAACAGCACATAAGTCAAGGTGGCTTTTTATGGCATTTGGTTGCTTTTATTCAAGCCTAAGAAAATGGAACAAAGTATTGTACTAATCAAGGTGCCTGAATTATGTCCTTCAGTTTCCCAAATGCCATCAGAGTTTTGAGGTGACTTCATTCCCCAGCAATGTCCCAACCACAAACTTACGATAGAAAAATTTTAGGATAAACATGATTATAATGGCTGCTTGAAGACCCTTTCTTAGAATAGAAGCTTCAAGTCAAAGAGAGAGCTAAGTGGGATTTTCCAACATGAAGGTGAAGGAAGAGACAAGTGGAGATGCCAGGTTAACAGTGTTTTCCGATGTGGAGATTGAAGTTGGCAGCAGCTCCTGCTGGCGCAAACTGCGTCAGGGAATCAGCAAACTTACAGCCCTTGGACCAAAGCCTGCTCACTGTCAGCTTCTGTAAACAGAGTTTTGCTGGAAGCAACCATGCCTACTTGCCCTACTGTCTCTGCTTCCCTGCTACAGTAGCAGAGTTGAGTAGTTATAACAGTTATAGACCTATGATCCAGGTCTTTAGAGAAAAAGTTTGCCAACCTCTGCCCTAAATCTCCCTGGTCCACCTGAAGGCCATGTGTGAGCAGTTTCCACACATACCAAAGGCCATTCTGTCTCTCTACTGGGCTGCAGAGATGTACCAGACCTAGGGTGGAGCAGGTCAGAGGGGCCAGGGCAACCACACCAGGGTGCCCCTCAACCAAGGAAGGGAGGGATGAGAGCTGGTGGATGGACAACTCAGCTGCCTTGCTGCCTGCTGGAACAATCTGGAGATGCTCTACTCGGTCCCTTAAAGGGTCCTAGTGGGATGGGGTCCCAGCTGCCCTGTTAA